GTTAAGGACATGGGTGGGCCATGGCCCGGCCAGCTCATCTGTCCCCGGGAACCCTTTCTTACAGAGAAACCCAACGAGGAAGAGAAAGCGGGAGCTGGACTGTCAACTTCTGCGTTTGTGAAAGGATGAAAGGACCCCAGCACTGTGCTCATTACAATCAAAGAGCTGAAGTCCCCAGCTCAGAGAAAACTAAAATGTGGGCTGTTTCCTTTTCTTGTCTAAGTCCCAAACTCTGCCTCCTGACTTTTAGCTCTGAAGGTTAAGTTCAAGCCAGAATGAGTCCCCACTCTGTCCTTGCCCACCTCTCCCTCTGCCCTGGCCAGGAAGGCTGGTGACAGACCAGTCCTTGCTGCCCAGGCTGAGCTGGGACACCTCAAGGACCCTCAGACGCCCGCATGAGCTCTTTGCCCCTTTAGTCACTCTGGTGGCCACCCTGGGAGCTGATTACACCCCCAAAAGTCTTCTGGGAGCACTTGGGGCCCGAGCCCTGCAAAAAGGATTAAGGCAACCGAGAAGAGACATGTTTTTCCAATTAGTGATAAACCACCCATGTTGGAACTTTTTGCGAAACTGGCCACTTGCTTTCACATTACCCAAGTTTCCTCATTCAGCTTTTCTCCATGAATAAGTCCACAAGGTTTTCAAGCAAAGGGGGTACCGAAGGCCCATAACCATGGAATAAACAGGATGCTTGCGGCACAATGCCTCCACCAGAATGCAGACACCAAGGGTCTCATCTTCTGTGAGCCGTGCAAGGAGGGAGTGGATGGAAAACTGACCTACCAAACGCTCCCTCCTTCGGGTTCGTTCACACACACCGAGTGCGATTATGTTTATGTTGCAATTGGATATACATTTTACTACATGCATACTTTTTTTTTAAAGGAATTTTTTCCCACTGACATTTCTTTCCCAAGCCAAGTCTGGTCCAGCCTGCCAAAGCGAGGAGATCAAGATCTCAATCCAGTGAGCTCAGTCAGTGAGCTCATGCTCCTTAAAGAGCCTTATATCCAGCCAGAAAGGCAGAGAATGTGGGGAAAGCAGGGAAATGCCATTCTCACGCCTGCAAAGACCAAGCGAGGCAGCCCTGGAAGCAGGGAAGTGAGAAGAGCCATAACCTGTCAGATACAGTCCACATGAGCATAACAAGGCCACTCTTATTCCCATTTTGCAGACGAGGTAGCAGAGGCCCAAGGAGGCTGTGTGTCCCAGACCCCACACACCTTGAGTGGTGGTGGAGCTGGGTTTTGAACCCATGATGTCTGTCTCTAGAATCTGCGTTCCTCCTTAGGCTCTGCACCTGCCAGATCCTTGAAGAGGACAACCCTCGGGTACTCCCTCCAAGATTCCCACCCTAGTGTATACACAACCTTCTCAATCCAATACTAATCGAAGTGGTGCTGTGATGAGAATTTGGAGATATAATGAAAGTCTCAAGTCAGCTGACCTTCAGGTGAATGGGCCTGACCTTATCATATGAGCCCTTTAAGCTGGGGCCTGGAGGACAGACGAGGGAATCACAAGAATTTGGCACTGTTGCTGCTTGAAGATGAAGGGGGATTCGTGGCAAAGAATGAGTGTGGCTCTGGGAATTAAGTAAATTAAGTAAGTCCCCAATTTACAGCCAGCAGGGGAACAAGGACCCGTATGGCAAGGAACTAAACCTTGCCAACAATTGGAGGGAGATTGGAAAGGATTCTTCCTGAAGCCTCTTGAAAAGAGCTCAGCCAGCCAGCACCTCGACTTCAGCCCAGTGAGGCCTTGAGCAGAGAAGCCAACCATGCTGTGTCAGACAAACTGCCAATCTGTCCCTCGGCATTATGGTCCCTGACTAATGGCCTCGCGCGCCAGTCCCAGCCATCACATCCGCCGAAGACTCTGCATCCTCAGCTGGCCCTGCAGGCCTCCCCGAGGCCCCACGCTGCTGTAATGGGCTCCTGCAGGCCCCTGAGCACTGCTCCTTCTCCGCAGGAACCGGGGTAAGTGCAGCAGGAGGGGACTGGCCTGGCAATTACTAGCAGAAGATGCTGAGCAAGTCTGCAGCCTCTCAGGGCCTCAGCTGTCTCACCTGCTTTCGTAACTGCTGACTTCCGGGCAAGCCAGACAGCTCTGGGCCTGTGCTGCCAATACCAGCTGCATGTCACTGTTTAAATTCAACTTTGGATAAAATATGGGAGGCCCAGCTAAATTTGAATTTCAGATAAATGGATAATTTTTAGTATAACTAAATCCCAAAAATTGCATGGGACATACTTATACTAAAGATGTATGTTTATCTGAAATTCAGATTTAACTGGACAGTCTGTATTCTTTAATAAATAAAATTCATTTTTCAGAATATTAAGTCTATGGAAAAATTGTGACAATAGCAGAGTTTCCATACCCCTGACACTCAGTTCCTCCTGTCATTAACATCTTACAGTGGTATGATACATTTGTCACAATCCATGGACCACTTTAATATATTATTATTTTTATTAACTAAAGAGCATACTCTTCAGATTTCCTTAGTTTTCCCTAGAGACCTTTTTTCTATTCTTGGTACCAGAAATCATTATCTGCAAGTATAGGCATCTGATTTTTTTTTTTTTTTTTTTTTTTTTTTTTTAAAGCTCACTTTAAAGCCCTGACCGTTGTAGCAGTTGGTTGGAGCATAAAGTTTGCAGGTTTAATCCTCAGTCAGGGTACTTAGGGGAGGCAAGCAAGATATGTTTCTCGCTCACATTGATGTTTCCCACCTACATTGATGTTCTTCCCTCTCTCTCTCTCCCCGCTCCCTTCTGCTCTCTCTAAAATCAATAAAAACATATCCTTGGGTGAGGAATTTTTTTAAGTCACTTTGGAGCAAAACAGTAATTCATATTTTCTTTTTGTAAATCAATCAAAATTATACCATATTTTTTCTATGATCGGCAAAAAGAAATTTTTTTGGTGTGCTGCAGAATTTTAGTAATTTATGTGTACCATGAGATGAAAACGGTTGAAAAAGCCCTGTTTAGAACACCAAGTAAAAGCAAACAGTCTACCCAAACATAGGCCGTTCCCATACCACCCGTTCTATTGCTCACCTAGCATTTTCCTTTAAATGGACTTAAAAATGAAAACCAGAGATCAGTACCTTGTGTTGTCCTTAGCAGCAGCTCAGCACCAAGGAGGGTCGAGGATCGAGGACAACTCAGAACAGCCAGTGGGTGGTCTAGCCCAGTTCCTTTGTACGAGCTTTTCCCATCCTGTTTTTCCTCCTCCTCAGGGGAACTAGGGACAAGTGGCCCTTTTGGTCCTGGTCCTAAGGGCCCCTGGGTCAACCCTTCATCTGTCCTTCCTCTGGCCAAGGTCCAGCTCCTCTGGACTCCAGGGTCTCTAGCAGAGGAGGCAAAGGGCTCAGCGGTCAACCATCTTCAGGGCAGCTCTGACTCCTGGCCAGTTGCCTCCAGGAACCTATAGGTATGCGGCTGCTACACCTGGCAAGCGTTAAGATGCACGCAGAGAGCTTTCTAATTACTTAGATTAGGGTGAGGCCGGGTTAAAGCATCCCAGGTGAGGCTGGTGATGAGCCAGGCCTGGCAGCGCTGAGGCCCACATGCGGGATGCACGGCCTCAGAAGTACCTGGGAAAATCTGTTACTTAAATTTCCATTCTATTCTGGATGGGAAGCCTAGAAGTTTTTTTTTTTTGTTTTTTGGTGTTTTTTTGCATCTCAGTTGTGATATCTCACAGAGACCAATTCAGTTCATTAGTAAGCTATCCAGAAAACACGTACCGTAATTAACCCGCAATCCCTATTAAGCGATAGCACAGTTGTGTAGTGGAAGACCTGAGTCTGACTGACTTTCTAAAACAGGCGCGGAATGATTAATGGGAACTCTGGCTCCGCTCTTTCCTCATCTCAATGGGTACAAACATATTATAGGTGCCAACAGGCCACACTGAGAAACTCCTTCCCTTTTCCAGTTTGCCCAGGAGGAAGGGAAACTTAATAGTGTGGTGTTTCCAGGTGCTAGAAATTTCTTCTTCACCATCTATGTCATGTCTCCGGTCCCTTGGTTTAGGGACAGAGCTAGACTGCATCCCCTCCGGGTTGCCACCACTGTATTTTGGTGATGGGTTAACTTACTTCTTGAGTCCCACAGGTTCACAGGTGGATTATATCCAGGGCCTCTCCCCCTACCAGATGCAGATGATTTAGATGATGAGATGCTGTAAGGGGGATGAGAATTGGGGGCTGTGGGACAGGGTGAATTATTTTGCGTCTGGATGGACCTGCATCTTTAGGGGCCAGAGGGCAGGCTGGGTAGGTAGAGTGCCTTCCCTTCCCTCCAAAGATGCCTACATCCTAATCCCTGGAACCTATGAAAATGTTACCTTATGCGGCAAAGGGGCCTTTGTAGATGTGATTAGATAGGTTAAGGGCCTTGAGCTGGGGAGATTAGCCTGGTGAGCCCAATCTAACCATGAGTCCTTAAAAGCGGAGACTGGGTGGCAAGCAAGAGTGCTGAGGCAGAGAGGGGGGTCAGAGGTATTTGAATGCTAAGAAGACACCGTGCTTCACAGGGAGCAGCCATGTTTTTTGTTCACCGCGTGTCCCCGGAGCCTGGAAACCAGCAGGTGTGAGGAAGTGCTTGGTGACAGAAAGACCAATGAAGTGACTGCTGGATTCCAGTTAACAGCCCTGTGGACAAGCTCCCTCATCTCTGTGACTCCCAATCTTCCCTTTGCTACAGATGATGGAGGTCAGCCACCCCATTAATAAACAGTAGGGCTGGAGCTCAAAGCAGGACCATCGGAACCCATCTGGTTGCCAAAGCCAATGCCATTCCCCACATGCTACCCCCAAGACGGCTTGGCCACAATGGGCAACACCACCGGGATGGATAGCTGTGAAGCTTGTGGCCTGCTTTTATTTCTTTGCTTACTTCTGAGGCCACTGGTTGTCATCCCATTTTGGATGGCACACGCCAGCAGGGGGTGCTAGCACCTAAATGTAAAGACCACGAGCTCCCACTGGAGGACTGAGAGGGCTGAGTCTGATGAAGCAAGACTGCTGATACAAATCTTCTTAGAAAAAAGGGTTAAAGAGAACTGGAGAGAACAGCCCTTACTGGAGAATATCACAGGACTGACTGTATTACCCAATATTCTTAAAAGCAACAAACACCCATGAACTCCCAGAGCTGGTCTCGGGAGTTTCTACATAAATGGCATCTCAAGCCCAAGCCGGTTTGGCTCAGTGGCTGAAGCATCAGACTGAAGGGTCATGTGTTCAATTCTAGTTGGGGCACATGCCTGGGTTCTGGCTCAATCCCCAAAAGGGGGGAGGGGGGTGTAGGAGACTGCTGATCATTCTCTCTCACCATTCATGTTTCTATCTCTCTCTTCCTCTTCCTCTCTGAAATGAATTTAAAAAAAAATTTTTTTAAAGCCATCTCAGAATGAAAGCCTTGGACACCTATCCTACAATATCGAACACAAGCTGGCCTGAGACCTGTCTCTGCTACAGCCTGCTAGCCAGATGCTCTTGGGCTTCCATCTCCTTGGCCACAGTTTTCGTAGGCACAGGGGCAATGACACAGTAAAATAAAGTAACAGGGGTAAGCTCCTAGCAGTCCCTGCTCCTAACTCTTGACTGAATTTGCATTCTTTAACCAGAGATGGTTGATGATTCTTGTAGGACTAGATTTCTCCCCCCCACCGCACCCCCGACTCAGCGGTCTCCCTCCTTTTCCTCCAGACTCTCCTGTCTTTACCGAGTCATCATTCTCTGTTCAGAACATTCTAAAACACTCTAGCAGGCACCCTCAGCCCAGTTACAAAATGCCCTGGGGTGCGTGATTCAAAAGGTACTTAAGCATGGCCTTCAAGGGCTCCTTTCATTTGTGTGCCAAGTGCAATGTCAAGAACACTGTGCCTTGCCTGACCAGAGTGGCTCCATGGTTGAGCATCAACTTACAAACCGGGAAGTCATGGTTTCAGGCTTGATTCCCAGAGTGAGGTGGGCAGAAGGCAGCCAATTAATGATTCTCTCTCATCATTGATGTCTCTCTCTCCTCCCTTCTCTGAAATATATATATATTGTTCCTTTGCTTGTATATTCCATCTTCCTAACTTAAAACAGCCCTTCACTGAACATTTACTCACTGTCCATATATTACACAAGGCCCGGTGCTGGGTGGAGACAGAGAGAGATATAAGGCACAATCACATCACTGGAGGCCCCTCCAAGGCAGACAGAGAATGTGCCTATCTGCCGAGATCTATCTGCGCTGGGAAGGGGGCTCTAATCTGGTTTCTATGAACCTTCCGGGTCCCATCCTGTGGACAAATCATGTCCACTTCACAGACTGCCCTCCAAGCCCGAGTGCAGACAGGAAAGGGCAGGTCCAGGATTGGAGCCCAGGGGTGGCTAAGTAGAACTCTCCTTTATCTCAAGCAGGTAGGGGCCCCAAAAAGATGTCTGCTAAATGTAGGTCACTGTGGCAGAAAAATAATCCTCCCCCTTCTTATTCTTGCAAACAAGCAGCCGTTCAGGGAGTCTGGACCATGGCCTGAGGTTTAGCAACACGAGCCTAGGCAACACGGGACATTTGGTGGCCCAGCGGACCCCAGGACCGCGCCGTCACGGCCGACACCCCTGGGAGTTGAAGACGACTACACACAGCGTGTGTTTCAGGTCCTTTTTCCCCTTGGCCATTAAATCAAAAACAGCCCTGGAGACAAAACACAGCTCTTTCAGGTGTCACTCTTTCCCCTTTCTGCTTCACTTGATGCATAAGATTTTTGTGGTAAAACATGAGCTTTACAAGAACATGCAACAGAAAGAAATAGGGAACTCAGTGATCCAAAAACCAGCTAAATGAGGAGTTTCTTTTCTTTCTTTTTTTCTTCTAATGTAAAGCAGTTCCAAGAAAAGTGAAGTCACAGCCCCGGGTGCTTATTTTCAGTTCTTAGAAAAGAGCCGATTTCAAAAGAGAAGCAGCGCGGCCCCGGCACACAGTCTGCCCTTTTCTAGCGAGGGGTGCTTGGTGATAAACTGACTTTGATTTGGCACCAGCACACTGACACCCCTACCCAAGATGCATTTCCCTTTGATGATGTCAAGGAGGAAACGTTAGCCGAAACAGTGAGAGAGATTATATTCAGGGAAACCACTGGAGCTCGGCTAACATGCTGAAGCGGCAGGGAGCTGCAGGGAGCCACTGGCCGTCTGTGGGACTGTGCGAAAAACAGGGCACCCTCCTCTTTCCCACCTCCCACCCTGCTGCGTTCCTTCGCTGCTCGGGCAGCCATACCAGCCCAATTAGCAATTTTCAATGGGACATTTCTTACCAGAAGTTAGGTAGGGGCAAACTGGGTACAACATGGCAGGGGTTCTCAGCAGCCCGGCTCCATTTTCTAGAAGAAAAGCAGGTCTCAGGTAAGGGGAACTGCAGACTAAGGTCTTAAGGGGCCTACCACACACCCAGTTCAAGGGCTGTTATTAGGAGCTCCATGATAAAGCTTTAACCTAAGAATCCTATAACTGACGTCCCATGGACTGCATCAATGTTAAATGTCAGGGTAATCAAAAGCAACTGATCGACCGTCCCACCCAGGAGGAGACTAAGGAGACACGAGGACTGAATGTAATGGGGTGACCTGGATGGGATCCTGGAACAGAAAAGGACTTTAGAAAAAAACAAAGAAAATATAAAGTATAAACTTGAGTTAATAATATCCCAATATTGGTTCATTGATTAAACAAATGTACCATACTAATGTAAGATGTTAATAATAAAAGAAACAGGATGTGGTATATGGGAACTCTTTGTATTGTCTTTGTATTTTTTCTGTATACCTAAAACTATTCGAAAAAATATATATAGTTTTTAAAGGCAACTGATGGATATAAGAACTTACTATTCCTCCCAGCAACAATCATTTGGTGGCTACCATGTGCCAGGCACACATGAAAGTGATTTAGATGCATCTTCATTTATTCCTCACATCAGTGCTATGAGCTGGGTATAATCTGCATCTTATAGGTGAGGAGATTAAAACTCAGAGAGGTTAGGTAACTTGTTTGCAGTCACACAGCAAGTTTAACAACAAATGAAGAGCTCATATTCAGGTCTCTAGGGCTGCAAAGCTCCAGAAATAGCTCAGCAACATTGCCTGAAAATGCCCAAACTCTGAACATAAACCTCCTCAAAACAAGCCTCAAGGGGCCAACAAACCCAGATCAGTAAAAAAAAATTATGCATTATTTCCAATTTGCCCTTTAAAAGAAAATGCTGTAGTTTAAAAACATAGCAAATCCAAAACACTGGAAATACCAAATGCTGATGAGGATGTAGAACAAAAACTCAGATACTGATGAGAAAGCAAAATGGTATAGTCACTTTGGAAGACTGCAGATGTGTTCCCCCATATTCTTATGTTGAAATGTGGGGGCCTCTGAGAGGTGATTAGATAAGGATGGCAGAGCCCTCATGAATGGGATCAGGGCCCATGAGACCCCAGAGAGCTCCCTTCTCTCTTCTGCCATGTGAAGACTATAAAAGGACAGCCATCTGTGAACCAGGAAACAGCACCTTGATTCTGCCAGTACATTGATCTTGAACTCTCCAGCCTTCAAAACTGCAGAAAATATGCCAAAACTTGTTTGGCTCAATGGATGGAGCGTCGGCCAGGGACTGAAAGGTCCCAGGTTCGATTCCGGTCAAGGGCATGTACCTTGGTTGCGGGCACATCCCCAGTAGGGGGTGTGCAAGAGGCAGCTGATCGATGATTCTCTCTCATTGATGTTTCTAACTCTCTATCCCTCTCTCTTCCTCTCTGTAAAAATTCAATAAAATATATATTAAAAAAAAACAAAAAAAAAAAAACTGTGGAAAATAAATTTCAATTATTTTTAGGCCCCCGAGTCTATGGCGTTTGTTATAGTAGCCCCAAGAAACTGAGACAGTCTGGCCGTTTATTACAAGGTTAAACATAGGCTTGCACATGATCACCAGTTGTGCTCCCAGATATTTACTCTGCTAAGTAGAAAACATGTCCACAAAACCTGCACACAAATGTTCATTTAAGCTCTATTAATAATTGCAAAAACTGGAATCAAATCAATGTCCTTCAATAGGTGCATGGGTACCAAAGCATGGTACATCCATACAATGGAGTATTCAGCAATAAAAAGAAATCAGGCCCTGGCCAGTGTGGCTGTTGGTTGAGTATCCATAAGTTTAGATAAGTTTGCTTTCACCATTCCCAGTCACAGCACATGCCCAGATTATGAGCTCGATCCCCAGTCGGGGGCGTGCAGGAGGCAACCAATCAATGTTCACTCTCACATCAATGTTTCTCTCTCTCCCTCTAAAAATATCAAGTTTAAAAATCTTTTTAAAAAATTTGGCATCAAGTTGTGAAAAAACATGGAGAAATATTAAATATATATTGCTAAGTCAAAGAAGCCAGTCTGAAAAAAAAACTATATCCTATATGATTCCAATTATATAACATACTGGAAAAGGCAATACTATGGAGGTAATAGGCAAAAAAATCACAGTGGTCATGAAGGGGGAGAAAGGGATGAATAGGCGGAGCACACAGGATTTTTAGGGCAGTGAAATTATGCAGTATGATACCATAATGGTAGATAAATGTAAAACGAATACAACTGTATATCACAAAAAATGACCTATAATGTAAATTATGGACTTTAATTAATAATAATGTATCATCAATTATAAGAGAAATAGAGGAACAGGGTATATGGAAACTATATACTTTTTGCTCTTTTTTTCCTATAAATATAAAGATGCTCTAAAACTGGGTCTATTAAAAAAAAAACATACAGCATGTAAAACAATTTATTAGTGGTAGAAGATAAATAATCCACCAAAACTCGACAGTAATGTTGAAACAAAACAGGACTCCTTTGACATTGATAATCTAAGGGGAAAAGAGGGTTGAGTAAGAAGCAGAGAGCAGAAATCTAGTATTCAATATAATCCCAACAAACAGTCCTTCCATACCAAAAATGTAGAACTCTACCCAGGAGGATGCTCCCTTGAAGTATCTCACCAAATGTTAAAAGACCGAAATTAGAAGTTGAGTGAATGCCTGAAAGTTGTTCTCAATCAATCTTTAATTTCAACAAGAATTTCAGCATGTCCCTATCATCACCCACATCTAAGAGAAATGGATCGTTAAGGGTTGAGTGGTGTTCAAGAGAGCTGTGTCTCTGAGAGGCTGCTGTACCGCTTGACTTGCAAACTGGATATGGAAGCTGTTGATGGAGAAGACGTGGGGCCATGATGTCATTCTTCTTTCACGAAGTCAATTTTCCTGCCCATAACCACACTTTAATCACCATGGACAATGACTGAGATTCAAAGTTTGCACCATAAAATAGGATTGCAGCAGTCACGGAAAAAGTATCATCACTGGTAAAACCTGAGAAATGCAACATGAGATTTCCGTGTGCTGTAGAGAGAATGAACACGACATCTGCTTTTAATCAACGCACAGGGGCAGCAGGGCTGAATTAACTGGAGTGCCCCAGCATTTAGAAATCCTACATCTGGACAACTTGGTGAGCCAAAGCAAAGCTCTCTGAGGAACTTTTGAGAAATACACATTGAACAATGTCCGTGAAATCCACATGGAATAAGAACTTAAGTCCTTTCAGAATTTCCGTTGTTTTTAATGACACTTCCAACATCATCTAAGGAATATTCCTGTGTAAATCTTCTACTTCCAGTGCCCACATGCTTTCATGGACGGGATTATCAGAAAGATCTGTCATCTTCACAGCCTGAAGGCAAGGCTCAGGGCTATAGGCCTGAATCACTCCCATTACCATCACGTACTTTCCTAGAAGAAAAAAAGACCATGGTAATGTTAAAATTGATAGGGGGGGGGGGGGAGGCAAAACAGACCCAGTCCTTCATAGGGCTTCACTTTATCAGAGAGGCAAATTGGAGACTTTAAAGAAAAAAAATGCTCAGTAGAGATCAAAATGCCAAGGTGGTCAATGATCTATCTATCTATCTATCTATCTATCTAAAAAGAGCAAAATATAGCTCCTGTATATTCCCTTCATCAGTTCCTCCTATTATTAACATCTTGCATTGCTGGAATACATCTACACTAATGAACGAGAAACATGCAAATTGACTGCATCTTTGCGACACCCATCAGCCAATCAGTAGTGAGTATGCAAATTAACCTAACGAAGATGGAAGGTTAACTTGCATACACAGATGCCAAGTGGCCAGGAGGGGGACACAGGTGTTCTGCAATGCCCCAACCTTGTCCTTGTTCCTTGCTCAATGCCACAGAGTATGTGGCTGTGGGCAGCATGGGAAGGCAGAAAGGTGGCTCCAGCCAGGACCGGTTTGGCTCAGTGGTAGAGCGTCAGCCTGCAGACTGAAAGGTCCCGGGTTTGATTCCGGGCAAGGGCATGCACCTTGGTTGCGAGCACATCCCCAGTAGGGGGTGTGCAAGAGGCAGCTGATCGATGATTCTCTCTCATCAATGTTTCTAACTCTCTATCTCTCTCTTCCTCTCTGTGAAAAATCAATAAAATATATTTATTTTTTAAAAAAAAATGAAAGGTGGCTCCAGGTCAGAGCAAAGGCGGAAAGGCGGCTCTGGGCTGGAGCGAAGGCAGTGCTGGCAGCCAGCGAAAGGAAGGCCCATTCTTGCACAAATCTTTGTGCACTGGGCCTTTAGTTTGTTATAACTGATGATACATTATCATTAACTAAAGTTCATAATTTACATTATGGGTCACTCTTTGTAATATATAATTATGTAAGTTTTACACTTATCTACCATTCTGGTATCATACCACATAGTTCCACTGCCCTAAGTTCAACATTTAATTTGGAACATTACATCTGTATATTCTTTGGTTTCTGCTTTTCAAATGTTAAAAAAATAAAAATAAAAATCAGCAAGCTACCATCTTGCACAAAACAATCATGCCCAAGGAATGGAAAAGACTCATGTCAGAGTATGAGCTGTAGTTAGACAGACTGCTCTTAGGAAAGGGCAGAAAACCCAAGCTTTCTTTTGTCCCTGTTCCTTGCTCAATGCCACAGAGTATGTGGCTGGTTGCAGTCATGGGACCAATCCTCTTTCTGCAAAGACAGCCCCAAAGCAAATCCAATTTTCCCTCCCTGCTGCCAAAAGATCTGGGCAAGCTATTGCACCCCTCCACCCCCTGCTGCCCCGTTGTTCTAACTGCCTAGGACCAATCCCCGCCACCTCCTGCTTTATCCTGACCTGGTGGTACACATAAGCAAATCAACAAGAGGGCAAGCTGCCATCAGGATGATCTAATGACATATTAACTGTGACTCTCTTCCCATTCTAGTGGAGAAGCGGCTCTCCTTGAAAGCAAAACTTGGCAGGTCTTAACCACACAAGACTCAATTGTATAAAAATACCCAAACACAGCAGGAGGGGCAGGCACGCTGCCAGGCCTGTCCGTGCCCTTCCAGGCCCCGTTAATCACACTGCCTCCAACAGCCAGGCTGAGTCTGCATGTGGGTCTGACTGAAGGAAGCCAGGCAAGTTGACACCTGACCCTCTGGTTTTCAACTCCTGAAAGGAGGTACTTAGGTTTCTCTGGACTCGCCTCCAGATTCTATTAAGGAAATAACAGCATTAATGCCTCAGTGATAGAGGCTAGTTCTAAAAATACATTTGCCATACTCTCTGTGAATGGCCCTAAGGTGCTGGTAAAGAGAGAACCCTCAAAAAACAATGAATACAGACACAGGAAAGAACAAGCCCAAGGAGATCCTAAACAGAAGAGGCTAACACGAGCCGCACTTGGCTCTCCACCTGCAGGGATGAGCTCAAAGGCAATGGTGCTTTCCTCCCTGCGATCAGACAAGCCGGCTCTCAGTCCTGTCCATCATTCCTTCTCCTCCACAGTCTCTCCCCACTGTCTCCCCTTCCCCTCAGTGGTCATCCCCTGGCCATTTTGATCGCTTCCAGCTTGTCTGTTTCCAGCTGCTTCCTCTTTACAACCATCCCTGTCGCACTGTGTCAGCGACCTTTCTCCAATGCAGCTCCTGCCTCCAGAACCCTCTGATCACAATGTGCAGTCTTGGCCAGTTAGTTTCTCCCCTCTCCACTGCAGACTGGAGAGTTCTGACTCAACTCTGCATACGCAGCACCTGAGGGTTAAGGAAACAAACTGCTGGCTGTTCTGGAGGAGAAAGCAGGGCGGGCACAGCACTGAAGCCATGAATACAGCCCAAGGCCACCTTGAAACAGGCAGGTCCTTCCACAAACAGCTCCGCAGGAAGGGAGCCCTCCCACCTTTCACTTTCGCCCCACTTTCTGCTTCAGGCTCCCCAACGTACGGGGCTCTCTCTCACCTCCAAGCCTCTGCACACGACCTGGACAATCTCCTGCCTCAGGTAGACATAGAGTGACCAATTGTTCTGGTTTTAAAACCGGAAGTTCCACAGCCTGGACCCCCTTCCGTCCTAGGCAACCTGGGTAGATTGGACCCCACAGCGTAACTCCAACACAGCCTTCAGGTCACCTCCTCTCATGAGCCTTCCCTACCATACAGGCCTGGGCCAGTTGTCGCTCCTCTGGTCCTTGTTTACTTTCTTGGCTCTCCGCCTGCAGGCAATAACAAGCTGTCAATCAAGACTTGGTATTAATTAAGAAGAGGCAATGGCGTGACCCATGCCTGCAGGCATTCAGGCAGTGAGTAAGTCAGACAGGTTCACCAATGCCCGTCAGTTCAAATGCTAAGGTACCCACTGATGCCAAACTCATGCCATGGCTGGGACTAGACATGGGAGACACCAAGCAGCTCGGGTTACATGCTAGGGCAAGGGTCAGCACACTTTTTCTGTAGAGGGCCAGATACAATATTTCAGGCTTTGCAGGTGATAGTGTGTTTATGGCAACTACTAATTCTGTAGTTGTAATGAGAAAACAGCCCTACCTTCTGGGACTAGGAGAGTCTGCGGAAGGCAGGCCCGCAGGCTGGCGGGCTCAGTGAGGGAGTCCCTCTCCAACCTGGTGTCGTGGTGGCCTGATAAGAAAGGAGAGTAGATGGCCCTCCTGGTCCCAGACTTTGCCTTCCTTTTTCAAATGGGAGAGGCAGCCCTTGCCGGCTATAGGTTTGCTTTTCATGTTTATTTTTGGGAGGGAAAAAAAGTAAAAACCACCGAAACCGGTTTGGCTCAGTGGTAGAGCATCGGTCTGCGGACTGAAAGGTCCCAGGTTCGATTCCGGTCAAGGGCATGTACATTGGTTGCAGGCACATCCCTGGCAGGGGGTGTGCAAGAGGCAGCTGATCGATGTTTCTCTCTCATCGACGTTTCTAGCTCGCTCGCTGTCTCTCGCTCTCTCTCTCTCTCTCCCTTCCTCTCTGTAAAAAATCAATAAATAAATAAAATAAAAAGAGAGAGAGAAAACAGCCCTAGGTATTATATAAATGTGTCACAATAAAACTTCACTTAGAGCCCTGGCCAGTGTGACTCAGGTGGTTAAGTATAATCCAGTGCACCCAAAGGTCACAGGTTGATTCTCACTCAAGAAACATGCCCAGGTTGTGGGGTGAGTGTGGAAGGCAACCAATAGATGTTGCTCTCTTTGCCTCCCTTCCACTCTCTCTATAATCTATAAAAATAAAAAAATATTAATATATAGAAATATATTAAAATTTTATCTCAAAAATAATTTTAGAGACACTGATACTGATACTTGAATATTAGAATATTACTTCTTTTGATTTTTTTCAACTGTTTGGAAATGTAAAAACCGTTTTTAGTTTGTCGGCCATTGGAGAGGAGGCAGCCTAGACTAATGCAGCAGCAGAGGGCTGAGAGGGAGGGACGCTGACAATGGGGCAGGGGCAGGGGCTGGGGCAAGAAGGGAGCAGGAGTATTTCACTGTAAGGCACAATGGTCAGTATTTTTTGAACTATCACAATTTTTTTAAAAACCACCTTCTGGGAGGGGGTTTGTTACAAAAATAATGCTGGGGTCCCTTCCCCGGAGATTACAACTAGGAGGTGTGTGTGTGGGGGGGTGTGTGTTCTGGGAACCTGCATTTTAAAAAATCCGCTTCAGCTGATGCTTATTGCCAGGTCAGCTAGGGCGACGCCAGATTGTGCTTGGAACCGGAAGGAAGGGTCCTGAATCAGGGAACCAGCACTGGTAAAGCCCGGCCGGAGGAGGGACGACCAGGCTGCACAAAACAAGGGTCAGCCCCGAGTTCCACTCTGGCTATTACCTGGGGTGACGCAGGGCCGCCCGCGCGGCACCCGCTCCAGGCCGCACACCGAGAAGGCGCCGCTCGGGTCCCGCAGCCGCGCCGTGCCGCCGCCCGCCTGCACCACGGTGCCCTGCATCCACACGGCCGCCAGCTCCAGCGGCGCGCGGCCCGCCCGGCACAGCCGCCACGCGCCCGGGCCGCCCTCCGCGTGGCGCCGCAGCTGCTCCGCCAGCACCTTGATGGGCGGCGACGACGGCAGCCGCACGGCCCCGGAGCCGCCGCCAGAAAACGAGTCCGCCCCCGCGGCCGCTGCCATAACGCTCGGCGGCCACTTTCCCGCCAACCTTGAAAGGCAGCGGGGCCGGCCTGCGGGCACCAATCAGCGAAGAGCTGGTGGAGCCGGCCAATGGCCGGCCAGAAGGCGGGACCTCCCGGGGAGTGGACCACACAAACCGCCAGGAGTGCGCATGCGCACCTAGAGTAAATACCCGCCCCCACGCTGGGAATGAATGAATATAATGAATTAAGAGAATAAATAAATAAAGGGAGCCCGGCCTGTGTGCCTCAATGGTTGAGCATCTACCTATGAACCACAAGGTCTCTGTTAGATTCCAGGTCAGGGCACATTCCCCGGGTTGTGGGCTCAATCCCTAGTGGGGGGCGTGTAGGAGGCAGGGAGGCAGCCTATCAATGATTCTCATCATTGATGTTCCTATCTCTTCCTTCCTTCTTTCCTCCCTTCCTCCCTCCCTCTCTTCCTCTCTCCTTCCTTTTCCTCCCTCCTCCCTTCCTCTGTAATCAATAAAAATATATATTTTCTAAAATAATAAATGTAGGGAGATAAAGAACCTATTTAACACATCTTAAAATTTGGTGTGCATGAATATCACCTGGAGAACGTATATCTTTACATCTCCTTGCATAAGAGAGTACTTTGAGGTTCATAAATAGTAAATACTGAAAGAAATAGTACCATTATGAGCTTGTGTTTATTGGGAGTGATCAAGAGTTGAGTCAAATCCTGGCCAGTGTGGCTCAGCAGTTGGATTGTCAGCCAGCACACCAAAAGGTCCCAGGTTCGATTTTTGGTCAATGCTGGAGGCAACCAGTTGATATCTCTCTTTCTCCCCATCCTGCTCCCTTCCACTCCATTAAAAACAATGGAAAAATATCCTAGGAGGAGGATTAATATAACAACAGTGACAAAAAAAGAATTAAGTCAAGCCAAATGGTGTGGCTAAGTGGTTGAGTGGTAACTCATGCACTTAGAGGTTGCAGATTGGATTTCACCCATCAGGGCACATGCCTGGGTTGAGAGGCAGCTGATCAATGTCTCCCCTCTCATTGATGTTACTCTCTTTTCCTCTCTCTGAAAAAATATTTTCAAAAAGATGACATTGTTAAAAAAAAAAAAAATGGGCCAAGAGAGAAGGCTGAGAAGAGGGACAAGGACTGCTGGTAAAATTACCCTTTCTTTTATTGTATATATAAAATATCCTCCCCCTGTGAGTGAGGACATTTTTTCCATTGATTTTTAGAGAGAGTAGAAGGTAGGGGGAGAGAGAGAAAAGAGAGACAAATGGATTGGTTGCCTCCTGCTGGAGCCCCAACCAGGGGCAGGGATTGAACCTGCTATGGAGGTATGTGCCATTGACCAGAAACTGAACCCAGACCCTTCAATCTGTGGCTGACACTTTAACCACTGAGCAAACCAGCCAGGGCTATTTATTATATTTTAATAACATAAAATGAATTAAAAGTTAATTAATACATATATTACTATATTTCTTTAAAAAGAAATGCACATTCATTATGGAAAATTCAGAAAATTAAATATAAACTAAGAAGAAAATTATAAAAAGTACTGAGATACTGTATATATCCACTGTTAACATTTGGGTATATTGGCATCCAGGTTTTAAAAAATACATATAATTATATAATTTTGATATTAAAATACTGTTTCGTATACATATATATGTACACTTTTTTGAAAGAGAGAGAGGAAGGGAGGAGAGAAACATCGATGTGAGAGAGAAACATTGATTGGCTGTCTCCTGCACACACCCCAACTGGGGATTGAACCTGCAACCTGGGTATGTGCACTGATTGGGAATAGAATGGGCAACCTTTCAGTGCACGGGATGATGTTCAGCCAACTGAGCCACACCAGCCAGTGTTGTGTGTATTATTTTCACTTAATAATAAACATCTTTCCATGCTTTCTCTTGAATGCCTGCATAATATTCTATTTGTCTCATCTCCCATCTAACCAATATGCTAGAGTTGGACATCAAGGCCATTTCCAATTTGTTACTTAAAATCGCTACTGTGAACTGACTTAGAGCTAAATATTTGTGCACATGTTTCAGATAAATTCCTAGAAATGGAATTGCTCCCTAAAAATTAGATGTCCCCAATCAGCAAAATCCACAAAACCTAACCAACCCTTAAAATCATAAGACCAGTCCTTAGGAGACTCTGTACTCCCAGGGGTTCCTGCAGTGCTGGGCATACAAAGGGTATTCAGCAAAAACTTGGTTTTTAAAAAGCAGCTAAAACATACTGTCTGCACTCACATCCCTAGAATGCAAGCTATTCTGTTGTCTGGGCAGCTTATGTGTAAACTGACGTGCAGCTCCTTGGAATCTCCTTTTAAAAAAAATATCCAAGAGCTTGCTAGCAGAGTTTCACTAGCTCCTGAAGTTGTGAAATTGGAATCTCAGATTATTGTTGTGAGCAGAAAACTGGGGTGTACTGACACATGCTGGGAGACTCACCTCTATGGAAGATTATCTCCCTCTCTACCCACTACTCTCACTTTGGACCTCAAACAACCCCCTTGGCCCCAGCTTCCAAATGCGATCAAAGCCTTCTGGAAAGGGGATTTCCTTCCACCTGACGACAAAGGTAAGGCAAGGGGAATTCTAGGCCGTGGTCTCACATTCAACCAACCCGTTCCCCTGGACAGATAAGATCTAAAACGCTCAGATTGCCTGGGACAAAGACCAAACCCTACCACCCAAAGAGTAGGGGTTTGTTCTGGAAGGATATATATGCAATGGCATCTTCAAAATAGCAGCAGTTAGCTGAGCTTTTACCATGGTACTGTGTGCTAAGCACCTTGCCAGGTGCTTCATGTGCAGAGTCTTATGACAATCCTAAGGAGAAAGAGCTTTCCTTAAGCCCACTGTTTAGCTGAAGAAATTGAAGCTTGGAGAGGTGATGTGACCTGCCCAGGACCACACAACTGGTAAGAGGTGGAGCCAGTGATTCTGATCCTTACCTGGAACAAGGGTCCCTCCCAGGTATCTTTCAATAATTAAGCCCCCAGGTGAAGGGGGCTCTTACCCACTATCCTGGGTCATCACCAGGGAAGAATACCCTGTAGAATTAAAAAAAAAAATACAGGTTCTATAAAAAAACACACAACTTAGGCCTGGCCAGCATGGCTCAGTGGTTGAGCACAGACCTATGAACCAGGAGGTCGCAGTTTGAGTCCTGGTCAGGGCACGTGCCCGGGTTGTAAGCTCAATCTCCAGTAGAGAGCGTGCAGGAGGCAGCCAATCAATGGTTTTCTCTCTTCACTTTCTTTCTCTCCCTCTCCCTTCCTCTCTGAAACCAATAAAAAATATATCTAAATACACATATACTGTATATATGTGTATCTATATACATACATGTGTGTATGTATATACATATATATAATAAACACAACTAATAAACAGAGTCCAGTCCAGCATTCCTTAGTATCTTTCAGGGATATAAGCCATAAAACTGGGGCAATATATTGTATCTGTAATGGACCCCTTTTCTTGAAATGATGGCAGTTCTGAGAAAGTGGAACTGTTGTAGAAAACTGAGACTGAGTGAACATCACCATCCATGTTTGCATCGAAACACACACACACACACACACACACACACACACACAAATCCTCTGAGCAAGGCAGTGAACGGGAATGCCTTATTTCATGGGAACACAAAGCATTGAAATGGCTCCCCCAAAGGCAGCAGGTGCATTCTTCTGGTGGGTTTCAGGAGGGCTTAGGCTGGGAGGCAGAGGGATGGACATGATGACCACTCATCAAAGCCCAAAGCTGTTTCTCCAAACCAGAATGCCCCCACTGCCAGGAAGAGCTCCTTTCTTAGCTGTGCGGAGCTGAGTTTGTCTGGGGGTGAGGGAGCATGACCCTCATGGTGGATTCACTGAGGCATGCAGCACTGTGTCTGGGGACTCAGAAACCTCAGCCTTGCAAAACAAAGACACTAGCGTGAACCCAGCTGGGGACAAAGGAAGTGTCAGTCAACCCTGGGCAGGTGGTTGGGTTGGTTGAAGCACTGTCCCATACACTAATAATAATAATAATAATAATAATAATAAGAAGAAGAAGAAGAAGAAGAAGATGATTGCGGGCTCAATTCCTGGTCAGGGCATATGCCTAGGTTGCAGATTCAATCCCTGGTAAGGGTGCATGCCAGATGTAACCGATCTCTCTCTCTCTCTCTACCTCTCTTTCTTTCTCTCTCAAATCAATAAAAATAAATTCTCAGGTGAGAATTAAAACAAACAAACAAAAAAACAACAAGGCTGCATTCGGGTGCCACAAGGGGCTGGGCTGGAGACAGAACTTGCAGTTGGCCTTGCTGTTCTCAGGGACCTGTGTGCAGAGGCCACTTAGAGGGGCTGGCCAGGGAGTCCACAGGAGAGTCCTGTGCCCAGGCATGTGGACAGGGGGTTGGGGAAGCTGGAAAGAACCAGCTCCCGTGTATGAACAGGCTGGGCCCCCATGGGATGGTCCCGTTCACAGTCCAGTCTCCAGATCTGCCTGATAAGCCCGTGAGTGACTGCCTGGTGCAGTTCATCCCTGCCCGTGCTCCTCATGGAGGACGCCCACCCGCCCATCCCCATCTTATGGGAGGGGACACAGGGCCCCCAGCCCACACAGCTGGATATGCTGTGGGTAGATGCCTTCATCAGCCTTTCTCACCACTTGGGCCCTGGTGACCCAAGACAGGTCCCCAAGACGCACCCCCATTTCCTGAGGACACTCTGCCCTCACCGGCCCCAGTGGTGCATGACTTTCCTCGGGCTCCTGTGGTGGGCTGCATGTCACAGAGCCACAGCCCTGCAGCTGGCCGTGGGGCCAGGTGTCCTGCCTTCATTTACATCCCTCCACACCCCGCAGCCACGGAGGAGCAGAGGAGCGCGAAGGGGAAGCCACAGGCAGACTAGCCTGGTCATCATGCCCACACCACGGCTACGCAGTGTCTGGTGGAAACTAAACCATGAGGTTTACAGGAATCAGGGCTCCTGAGCAGCACTGAATGTGAAAAC